ACTCCATGCCACATAAAAATGGAGACACTTATTTTAAAAAAGACTAAAATTGGGGATATGATTATGAACAACAATGTAGCTCCAAACAATGCCCATATAAATTGAAAAGCGCAGCCCCATAAAAAATTATTGCACAATAATGAAGAACAATTATTCTACTCCATGCCACATAAAAATGGAGACACTAATTTTTAAAAAAGTCTAAAATTGGAGACATGATCATGAACAACAATGTAGCTCCAAACAATTCGTTGTTATGTGACACATAGATTAATTTTCTCAACAAATTGTAAAAGAATCTACTCTACTTCTAAGAACTAATTAAAGCATCATATACTAACAATGATGATCTTGACCACCATAGAATAATTAGCTAGGAATTTAAATGTGTTCATAGACACCAACCTTTTGGATGATAGATTCACCACAATTTAAGCCTTGCACAAATGTCCAATTGGAAAAGTGCTCTCTAGAATGGAGAAAGAACTAAAGTGAGAATCAAGCAATGTAGCCATCAAAACAAATCTAATTAAGCAACAAAATCAAAGGAGTGGATGTTTGTTACTAACCTTAAAGTAAAAAGATCAAGCCATTCTTTAAAATCCAAGCGCTAGCTTCACGGTGAAGAGCAGCCGCAACAATGGAGGGAAGGGCCTAAAAATGCGCCTCTGTTCTCGGGATGGAAGAGAGGAGGAAGGAGAGGACGGCTGCAGCCTTTATGTGTTATAGGCTTATCACCATCGGTTCTTGGCTAGAACCGACAGTGATAGAGCCCAATCACTGTCGGCTCTTGGCTTGAACCGGCAGTGATATGTGGCCGTCAAGCCACTGCCGGTTAGAGACACAAACCGGCAGTGATAGTTGTCATCACTGTCAGTTCGGTCACATCCCAAATCAATTTCTGATTTTCAGACCCAAGAACCGGCAATGAAGGGTCAACACTGCCGGTTCTCCTAATTCCGGCAGTGATGAGGCTGGCAGTGAAGTACTATTCTGTAGTAGTGCCTGCTAGGCTACTTTCATCGATAGTGAAGTGCTACACATGCTACTGACGACTTAAGTTCATACATTTCATATATAATTATGAACTTGTAATAATTTTTAAAACCTAGTGAGATTCAATATTACCAAAATAATTTGGAGACAACTGCACAACTGACTACCTAAATGTGGGAACATACTAAATTTGGTTACGCCCAATACCTATGTATGTTTTTTTTACCTCCCATTGATCATTGAAATGACAACCGCCAAACGGGGGTGAGTTGGGCTCTAAAATGTTGGACGCAACAACTGAGCCTATACTAATCTACTCACCCGCTTGCATAGGAGAGCTAACACTTCAAAAGTTCACACTGAGCACAAGTCCTTAGGACCATCATACTAAACATGTCCTTAGTCAAGATCACACAAACATAAGGTCCTTAGTTACGGAATTACCACTAGCCTCTTAATGAAAAACACGTGAAGTCGCCTTCGCAAAAAAAGTAAGAACACAGTATAGCATGGAGAAAAAACCAAGTTGCCAAAAAAAATTGTGCACCAAACAGAGATCAAAACACAACCTAGAAGGAGAGTGGAATTGCAAGAATTAGAAAGATGGAGAAGAGAAATCCGGATATATTGCCTGTGAAATTGGGTAGTTGCTACTACCCCTTAATCCACGTTGGAGCACCAAAGACTCGCAAAGACTCAAGTTTTCATTAGTGAACACCCCTTCTCTGCTATGGATAGGCGGTTTCAATCCAAGCACAACTCTAAGAGCCTCTCCATAAAGTAGCTCCACCAAGACGATCACCTATAGTCCTCCACCAGACCACTTAGGTGTTGTCAAACACCAAGAGTAACAAGTCTTCAATCTCCATTTGATGAACTCTAGTTCAAGAACACTGAATGCACACTAAGTACACACTCCCAACTCATAATCTTAACCCTTCACCAAATTCCCCCTATATGTTGAAACTATGGGTTTAAGAGAGCTCCAAATAACTCCCAAGTATAGTTATTCCCATGTGTGAATCTTAAGATTTAGGGTGTGAAGGGGCTGCTAGCCATTGGAAAAATCTACGAACACACACGTCACTAAATGATCCGATAAGTGCCACAAAAGCACACCAGATCATATAGTGACCTTATTCACTCCAGTTCTCCGACGGTTAGAAAAGAATATACTAGAATATGCTCTATCGGATGATATTGTTGATAGTTACTACATGATAAAATCTAACTGTTAACATGTATATGAAAGTGGCAAAATTATGATCATCACCACTGGAACTAGCCGTTGTTGACCGTTTGGTATTGTTCATAGCACATACTCCTGTGCCCATCACCAGACTAATCCGGTGCCCTATTTTCCTATCTGGAACCTTACTGGTGATCACTGTGCTACACCTTTAGCACTCACCAGACTAGTCCGGTGGCAAACTCTAGGTTTGCACAATGGCAGCGCTTGGTCCAGTTCTCTTGTGGCCTCAGCCACCAGATCAATCTGGTGGGCCTACAAAACCCTGTGCGGATAGCCACCACACCGCATGGTCCAGTGCCTTGTCTGGGCTTACACTGGACCAATCTAGTGCATGCAAAAAAGCATGCACCTGACCCCTTTTCTTTGTGTCTTCGCGTTTGGCTTGGTACCATCTTGTGTCTTGGACTTTTGGCAAGTCTTGTGGATTTTCAACATGTCTTCTAATGTCTTGCTCGAGGTGTTGATTATTCATATCACCACTTTGCCTTAGTTTAAGTCCACTTTGCATCCATTTGAACCATACCTTGTATACTAGCAAACATCATTAGTCCAAATGGTCATGTTGTTCATCCAAAACCAAAATAAAACTTAATGGCTTATAGGGTCCATTTTCCTTACAGGGGTCACGCCCATTAGTGGATAGAGGTTCCACGCATCGTGTGCGGCAGTACGGCCGAGAATGGGTCTCGAGGCGCGATGGAGGTCTGACAAGGCATTGATATGGCGGAGGCATCATGGTCCAACAATATAGATATGGCCGGTGAGCAGCTCATCTCGTCCTCCCCTCTCTTGCTCACCCTTATTATCCCTCTCCATCCCAGATCTGCAGTAACCTGGATGACATGGCGAGGGGGAAGAGAAGACGGTGCGGCTGCGGGGAGGTCGAGCATGGTGCGGCAAGAGTTTGCACATCAATAGCACAGTGCCCTAGCAGCGGCGTGTGGATTGATGCGGTGACAACGCCCTAGCGTCCCAGATCGAGACCTAGGCCTGGTTGGACGCCTGAGGTTGCGCTTTTTTGTTTTTTATTTGGATTAACAGAGGCCGGCATAAATAGCCACCTTCGTAAATCGTGATTAAAAGTGATGTTGGAGAGCCCACCTGTGATAACCTATTTTGATCTACTCTGTAAATCGTTTTTGTGGTAATAGAAGCATGATACTAGAAAAGTTTTACAGGAACAGGTGCTCTTCTCTTCCTATAAGTATCCTATATGAAATTCACTGATACTAACAAATTCAGCAAGAGAAATACAGCCACTGTGAATCAATAAATGGAGAGTAACCAAAACAGCATTTTTTTTCTTGGTCACGTCAGTGACGAACTAACAGACGGCCACTTCGCCAACATGCATATGTGATGTTAACATCCATATATACATAATAGTATGATACTGGGTATATATCCATCCGTGTCGTCCTTTTCAGTCCATGACACGACCGTGATCAAATGGACGACTGAAGAAGATTAATCCGTCTGATTTGCGGCTGCCTGTCGACACTCGACAGGATCGGATGCTGTTGTCCACGCATTCGCTTCTTCCATTTCTCTTGACAAGTAACTGTGCTCGTGACCTCTCGCGGACTCGCACCAACGTGTGAATTCTGGACCGGAGCACTCATGCTTTGCTGAAGACACAGAAAATTGAAAGAAAGGTGCTCATCAGAGTAGATTGGATAATCTGCTACCCGACTACGTAAAAAAATGTTTTTTCAAGAAGCCATATTTTATTTCCGGAGACTAGAAAAATAGAGCGGTTTTCAAAAGTGGTTTGTGTTCCTCCATATCTTCTATCCCTTTTCGTTCTAGAAAACTTATGTTCTAGAATCTAAAAAGGTCTTAGAAAACTTGATGTTTTAACTCTTACACAATAAATTTAAATTTGTCTCGTCAATTTGAAATTGTAGTCTGAATGTGTATTTTTTTAATAAAAAGTTTATTTCTTAATTAACATGGTTCACCTTTAGTAAATAGCTAGGGGTATATGGGTGATTTATGTTGAGCACTAATGTATCCTAAAAGTCCTAATAAAGCCCTAAAGCATCGATCGAGTTCTTTAGGATGGAGGGAGTACATTACTATGAAGAAATATTTTGGTATTGACGTTTATAGTATTTTCTGCTTTTTATGTTGATAAATTTTAAATGAAAATTAAAGTATGTATGTGAAGTATAATGCCAAGATGGTTGTTACGGTTGTGTTTGGCAAGCTGGTCTACCCTCACCTTGGCCCCATAATACAATTTGCGTGTGTTTGAATGCACTACTACATAGATTTTAAGGAGGTGGCCAAATACAATTTCTAGAGCCGACACCCTGTCCGTCACTGTCTTATACTCTATGTAAATTGAATATAACAAAAGTAGTGGTGGATGTCTGCCTCTAAAAATGTTTTTAGAAAATAAAAATTATTGGGTCGTTGAGCCCAATCTACACTACACCACAACACCAAGATTAGCGATGGATGGTCTGACGCTAAAAGCGGCTACAGCGACAGACAATCTGACGCTAAAAAGTTATAGCGACCGACTTCTGCAGACGCTATAAGTCCTATCGCTAAAAATCTTTAGCGTCAGACAGTACTTTTAGCGACAGACAGTCTAATGCCCTGAATATTTATAGCGATAGATAGTCCATTGCTACTTTTTAGCGACGGACTGTGCGATGGTACATATGGTTTTAGCGACAGACAGTCCAACTAGACAATTTTAAATGGTTAAAAAAATAAAAATTAATCCATCAACAATTGTCCATCAACCAGCTGCATCATCCATAGGGTAACTGGAATAGAGAAAAAATGCACTAAATTTTGGTCATATTTTACATGAAAAAAATGAATTATATCATAAAATTAGCTAACCCGATTATAATATCAAGAAAATGATACAGAAAAAGACACTGGCTGGAAATGAAGTGTGATACAGTGATACAACTAATGAGAATCATCAGCATCATGTATATGATTTCCACTGGACATGAACCAGCGTTATATACTAAAGCTAGTAAAACTAGGTGGGAGTTCATATATCGTCTTTTTATCACATGTCAGCAGCCCAATTATCATATTTCTAATCTACATTTCAAGAATAAAAAACTTCTTGCCAATGATTTGTAGTGCTTTTAACTTACCACTTTTTCATATCTTCAAGAATAGCTGTTGCACCTCTACACATCTGAAAAGAACAGCAGTGAATTTCACAATCCTAAAATAGCAGTAGTCAAATAAGCATTGAATTGAATTGGTAAACACAATTTAACTCACTGTGGTTCCACAGTCACCATCGCCCACTTTACTGTCCCATTCATTTAGGCTATCCTTGAGATTGATAATTACAGTAGCACTTGCTTCAATAGCAGCCTCCAGGATACACCCTTGCTTGCTCAGCTCCAGAGATGGAGCAAAAATCTGCAGAAGAATAACAAATCATGATAACTGAGGGACTGCAAATGCATATGCCAGTGTGATAAAAGACAAAAAAAAATGCAGAACAGTCTTGAAAGTTCTGTGAAAAGGGACAATGATAACAGAGCCCACGGTTTTCCCATTCTCTGGATCTAGCATTGAGAAACTGAGACGAAGCAATACCACATAACAGCTTGAAATAAAAAAAACACCCATAACCCCTACAGAACCAGCAAACAGCTACTTGCACTTCTTGCACGCTTCCACATTAGATCACAGGTGAACTGACGGCCTCAGAAAATAGATCGCAAAAATCCAAATAGGGAATTTGTTTTACCTCGTCATCCTTAATTGAAGGTGATGGTGGTAGAGGAACAAGAAACTTTGCTGGTGGACGGTTTCCTACAGTCAAGTGATCAACACTAAGTTTAGAAAATTGATTCATAATTGAAAGGTTCTGATAGAGCTTAAAATATTTTCCCCCGTGCTGAAAACACGATTCGGAAGTTTTGATAGCAGTCTATGTGTCTCAATAAATTCCCATTTATCTGAACAACCTACACTTGTTATAGCCTTGAATCAATGTTCGCACAACACAGATCGTAAGCGAGTCTTTAGTATGTACTAAGAAAAGGAAATGTGTGGCAAGTGAGATGATGGTAGAAGGGGAAAAATAATGAAAGGAAGATAACAGTATAGGTACAATTTATACGCTAGAAATAAACTGACTACAGCATTGTTCTAAAATGTGACCATCCCACCCACCCACCTAGCCTTCACCTAGGTGTGAGTTAAATCCTTCCTCCTAGCACCTAATCATCCAATTAGCCACTTGCACCAATCAACCACCCGCTTAGCACTGATTAGCCACTAGACATGAAGCCCACCGAACACCTAGCACCTTTTAGAGCGCTTCAGAGCAATGTTAGAGAACACTAGCTAAAGGCACTCCCTCCATTCCAAATAATAAGTCATTCTGGCTTTTCTAGATACATAGCTTCAGTGGGAGCAGGCCAAATTAACTCACCTTCAGAACCAACAGGCCAAGCTGGAGCTTTAGTGGGAGCATCAAGTCTCTTCAAAATGCTATCATCGGACTTCATAATGGTAATAGATAATCCTGCAAAGGGAAAGAGTCTGAAACAATATTGCCTGCCTGCCTGATTACTTAGGAAGCTGAGTCAACGTAAAATGCTGACATATGCATTGTGATTAGATAAACAATTCCACTTAAGTCAACTGCTCGTATATCAGATGATTATGAACAATATATAAAACATTTTCGTTTGTGAGCGTGACGGTTGGAGCAAAGCAGTTATCTTGACCAGTGAATGACTTACGAGGTTTGGTAAAATCATGTTAACTGAATGTAGAGATGACAAAGCTCATCCACATAATCATTTCGAGGAATCACGCAAAAAACTAACCTGCCATATCAAGAGATGTCATAAGTGTGCCAGTGTACACTCTGTCAACAACAATGCCATACACCAATTGCAACTCAGGAACTGCTTTTCTCGCTGCGATCATAAGTTCCATGATAGTGGCTCCTAATCTGCACATTAGAGATGGGGTTAAAGAACAAAGTTACAAACTGTACTCAATTCAGAACAAAGTGGGGAGAAAGGAAATAGCTACAGTTAAAAAGTAAATAAGTAATGTGCACTTTCAAAGAGATCATCAGAAAAAGTGAATTTTAATATAAGTACGATTTATATGGATAGACAATATTATAACCACGCTGCCATAAGCTCTCAATCCTCTCATATATAGCGTTAAACACATTTTGTAACAACTAATAAGCAGAAGTAATTAATGTAGTAGGTAGGCCAAAGTTAAATTTGAAAAAAGAAAAAATATTTCGAATGCTATGTCTGACTCAATCCTGTGAGCCCTTCCAGCTATTCCAAGTCTCTGGCATATCCGAACCATGTAATGAAGTGCTATAGAGATGGTAATAAGTAATCTTTCAGGAATTCAAAATGGATGCCCCCTACCCCGGCCACCATCAGCAAACAAAGAAATTATCCATAAAAGACGATGACCTGGGTACAAGTGACATTAATATGCAACCTTCTAACCAGATCCCTTTGATGTATGACGAGGGGAGGTAGAAGTCTCCAACTGAAACATAATCATAATTTTTAAATTGTTGTTGCTTTCCCATGTATGATATTTTTTTACTGCAAGTCTAGTGTTGTATATCCGGGATAAGTTTACTGGAAACAACTTTCACAGTAACCCATAAAAAGAAAGTGCAACTCCCATCGTACCAACAACCTCAGATGCATGCTTTGCTTCTGCAGCAACCGCTACAAGAGATAAACCAGCATCTGCTGCAGCCCCAGCAACCTATGGATTAAACAAACTTAAAATTAGACATTAGAGTGCGAGAAGAAATTTTACAAGAAATCATTGGCTGCTTCAAGTTTGAAATCCATGCAATACAATGCCAGAATTTCTTCCAACAGAAAGGATCTTATATGCCAAAAGTCAAGATTATTGGAAAACTAATTATTACTTACTGTTTCCCCATTCCAAGTCTAGCACCCAACTGTACAAGGTTTAGTCACTATATTTGATGTACAGGGTGCAGGGTGCAGGGTGCAGGGTGCTGGCTTAGATTAGACACATGTGTTTCATGAACAAGCAGTATATCTTTGATTCCAGTTAAGATCACTATTGGTTAGTGTTTAGTGTTCATCTTAATATAATGATACGCAGCTCTCCTACGTGTTCGAGAAAAAGTGTTTAGTGTTCATGCAGATAGCACATCAGCTTACTTAAAAAGGCACTCCCATTATTTTAGTTGAGCATAGTGAATAGTTAAATACTTAAATTAGAGGGAAAAGGCTGCTTGCATGAAAAAGCAGATCAGATGAGTGTTAAAGAGATTTTTGCAGGTCAACTTGGCTGAGTGAAAGAATGTAACATGCCAGTAACTGGGGATGAGCCTAAGAGGAAAATCTAGGATAGAAAATACAATGGCAACAACAAAATACCTTATGCACAAGAATTGTTCCAGCTAAACCTCTTCTACCAGCTATCCCTCTAGGTGGGGGAAGGACACAATCATCTCCAACAATGACCATCTACAATTGGAGGATAAATGATACATAGTCATTAAAATTAATATGATCTGCCACACAACATAGTAATATGTGTTTTTTTCAACCTCCATCTTATAGCCTTCAGATTTTGCCTGCTCAGCAGCTAATCCAAAATTTAGTCTATCACCAGTGTAGTTCTGCAAATGTTTGGCAATTGAAGGTAAGAAGAAATGAAGCTTAGTAAGATGAGAGCAGTGCAATGCTTCAAAGTTTACACTTATAAAATTGAACAAAATGGAGCACTACAGTTTAAAAATAATGGAGAAAAGTATAATGGAGAAAAGTACCAGTATCCCTACATCAAGCATACACATTTATCCAAAACAGCCCACAGTTTGGCCCCTTTCAAAGCAAATACAGATGTACCACAGACTTCTTATTGAACTAAAAATTGATATGTCCCAAGCAAATTTCAGAAAAGCAAATGTTATCCCTCCTCTCTATCCATTCATGCATGAACACAGGACGATAGGTGGAGGAAATGGTAGTTATTGATGTGGTAATAAATAAACAATGCACGGTCCCAAAGCATCAAATACTCATATTGCACAATCCTCAAGTGTACTAAAAGATCCCTCTTATCTAATGATTTGACATTTTAAAGCTGATATCATAGTGAGAGTACGTTTACTATTAGAAGGCACCCCAGGGGACCAGTTATAGCTCGAATAGCCTACAGTGAGAAGATGCAGTTAAATGTCAGCTAAGATGATTTATGCTACTTAAGAAGCTAGACATTGTTTTACTAAAAAAGAAACATACAACTAAAATAGAATCAATAGGTGGAGAAGCGAAAACATCTCCAGAAACAGCAGCGGTCAACATCCCTGGCCCAACAAATCCAGCATGGGCAGGTTCATGGCCGCTTCCACCAACTATGAACAAAACGGTGCTAGAATAAGTAATTGAACTTGATATGAAAAAATGGAAATATCCCAGCAACCATCAGCCATAAAAGTTACCAATGAAGATATTTTTTTCATGCAGAAGTTCCTATTTGACATTTCTTAAAGATGGAAAAGAAACAGTATGGCCATATGCTTATATATACTATTAGTTCAATTAGGGAAACACAACAAGCGTATGAGAGATTATATACATGGATTTCTGTATGATGATGCCATGGTATGCAAGAGGTCCATGCAATACACCGTCATCCGTTCCTCTTCCAGTAGTAATGTCTCCAAAGCAGAGTACAACGTGGTACTAAATGTAAAAGGATATCTCTTTTTTCATAGTAGTATACGAAAAGAGATTGATGGCATAAGATGATAGAGGTGGGTCATTCAATCGGCATATCTTTCTTTTCTCAAATGGAGACATTGGTTGCATAGTGATATGTGTAGCTCCTTACAAATCACTTAAAAACTTCTCTACTGAAAGTGGTACTAGTAGAAAAAATAAATTAATGCAGCAATATCCCTTCTCTATATGGATGAATCTCTTTTGTCATGGTTAGTAGAAGAAATGGGACAACAAATAGTTAAGGTCAGTGCTCACATCAGCTGACAAAGCTAAATAGAAGTTCATACATATGACAACAGCTATATATATGAAAAAATATTCATTAGTGAGAGCCCACAACAGTTGGCAAGGCTAAATAAAAGTTCATACATGGTGGTAGGCTTAGAACCACATATGACAAGGCTCTCAAGTACTCTGTCTGTCCCAATCCAAAAGACAGAGAACCTAATATATTTACGGAGGTCGGGATGATACATATTGGAAATATTTGGGATAAATATAGCATGCACCATCACTATACTATTTTGCTAAGCTATAAGAGGTATAAACATACATAGCTAATTAAATATGGAAAATATATTTCCAGAAGAATGATGAGAGTATAGGAAAAACCATTTAGACCATGGTTGTCTTCTAAAAATCAGAATAACACCGTAGTTATTCATCGGTACTTACTTCCTACATTTAAAATTTGAGGTACTTGGTGCTTTCCGTTGTAGCTTGCTCGTTTATTGTTGCCTCCCTGGTTGGTCGGTGCCTCAGCCTTAGCTATCTTGCACTACGCAAAGGGGAAGATGGAGGGAGGGAGGATCTGGGTGAGGAGCCATGAGACGGAGGATGGATCTGGGTGATGAGCCATGAGACAGAGAAGAAGAGGGTGAGGTACCTCCAGATCTGGCCGCCAAGCCGATCCGCCGAGGAAGAGGCCACACGCACGTAGACGGAGGCGTCGAACATAGGCACCTAGGGTTTCGATGTTTCGTCGAGCCCAGGAGCGCACGTGGACCGGTGGGAGGAAGCCGCCTCGGGGGTGGCAGCCGCAGCAACGGCCACCTGCGGGGGCTCGCTGGCGCCCGTGCGCCGCCGTCTCGCCCGCACAGGTGGTCTTCCCTCGCGGCTCTCCTCCCCTTCTTCCAGTCCGGTCGGCCCAGAGGAGGTGGAGGGCCGGTGAATGGGTAGTGGCGGACATGGAAGGGGCGTGGTGGCAGGCTCCTCTAGATTCGCCGTTGCCGGCTTCAAAAGTGGGCCCGCTTCTTTGCAGCACCGTCAAGGTCCCGAGACACTGCGGCGCAGGAGAGGCGACTCCGGCGCCGGATTTGGGACAAGCGGTGGCGTGGCGCGACGAAGCGAGAGGGCCGCCGCCAGACAAGCCATGCTCGGGTGCCATCTTATTGGAGGGGTCAAGGCGATGGCAGATTTGGGGCAAAGCGGTCGTCGGGCGGGGGGCGGAGTTGGGGTTGGGGCGTCATGGCCACGGATACGGGATACGGAGGAGCGGCGGTGGCCGGGTAGGCTGAGTGGCGGCGGGACCTAAGCTGGGAGTGACGGGATGGGGTGGGAGCGGCGGCAGATCTATCTCGTGCGAGCGTGGGCGGCGCGTACTACTGCGATGGGGTGGGGTGCCGGCCACGTATGGAGGATTTAGGTCTAGGTGGTTTTGCGTTTTTTATTTTTTTCACTTCCTTTTCTATTCCTAAAGACAGGCGCCAATGCCAAATGCAAGTGGGCGCTGGGCGTGTGAGCAAGGTGGGGCCCTTTTTTTAGCGACAGACGGATTGATTCTATACCTGTTTTCAGCGACAGATAGTTCGACATTAAAGATGATTACCTATAGCGACAGACAGTTAATCTCTAAATGGAGAATTAGCGTCAGATTATCTGTGAGTTATCTTTAGCGTCAGATCATCCATCGATAAAAAAAAGTTTTAGCGTTAGATGTCTGATGGTGATATGGTGTTGTGGTGTAGTGCTACACTACTACACTCAGACCTTTCACAACCACGTCATAACCCCCATCGCAGCTACATTTCAGCCTCGGCAGTAAGCTATCGGCAGTGATGGTCATAGCCCTCACTGTTGGAATCTGAGACCGACTGCGGTGTACACTACACCGCCATATTGGCTTATGATCCATCCGTGATAAGGTCCTTACTTCCGTTGCATTGAAGCACGACCCGTCTGTGGGTATACACTAACACCGCCGCATTGGCAAACGATCCGCCTGTGTGGAGGCTATCATCACCGTCATGTGGGCACATCAACTGCTTGTGTAGTGGTCACCAGCACCATCGCCTTGTACTTCGACCCGACTGTCTACGGTGTAGCTTCAATGTCACTTCGACGGGCGAGACATCTGTAGAGATAAACATCACCATCGCTTCAGCGTATGAACCATCAATACAAAGGTTATGGTCACTGTCGCCTTGCACCACGTTCCGCCTTTGATGACCGTTTAGTCGACGTCGGGTTACTAAATGATTCGGCGGTGATACACTTTTATCCCTGCCACATAATACGTATAGCGACGTTGTTGGACGTTTGCACCACCAACGGTGGTGGTGATAACAATACAATAAATGGCTCTTAATAGCTTACTAAACGCAAAGCATACAGATATAATCATTGCATCTATAAACCATGTTCTTACAATAATAATGGACGCTTACCATAATATCTTTCTCAACTGATGTCCTAACACAAGCGATACATAGATTGCAATCTAAAGGTACTGATCTCTATAGACATACATAACGAAAATGACATAGTTGTGCTCCTCCTATGTGGCACTCCTGCTTGCTAGGCAAAAATGAATATAATTAGTGCATCCTTCGAATTGGTAGGCAATACACCATGGAACCCCTCTTCTTCCTCCTAGCCAATGCAGGAAAATTGTTCAAAAGCACTCAGACTTCACCTGCACAAAGCAGCAGAATTAATAATATTCAACACACCATTCCTTTAGTTAGGAAGCCCAAATTGGTCTATATATAGAATCAAAACAACTACCTACCTGAACAAAGGCATGACGTAATTACAATAAAATATAGCATATGCACCTTTACTGCTCTGCTAATGACTCCATGAACAAGGGAATATAAGGAAGATAGTGTGGTCTGCCGCTCATACAAAGTAGTTTCTAGGTACATCTAGGATAGCCGATAGCCCAGGCAGGGAGGACATGAACTTTACTGCGGTTCATGTCATATGCAAGCAGTATTTTGTCCTCCCCAACAAGGAAAATCAAATTCCATTCTGGATGAACTGCAATCACTCCGTAGGCCGCATCACAAACCTTGGTACCAATTTCAATACTCTTCTTTCCAAATAGCTCCAGCATGGTCACCTTATGCTTCAATGTCCATTTACTAGTACCATAGTCTTTAAGGATCCAGATTGAAAGCTCATACCTATTCAAAGTATCAGTAGTACATAAACACAACTGATCCTGAGCTTCATGGATGGAGATTGCATCACCAGTTGGCCTATGAATTTGCCTCCATGTCTTTCGCTCCATATCAATAGCAACTATTAGGGTGAACTCTAGCATGTGCATAAAACCATTAACAAACACACCTTTCCCATATGTGGATACTATAATACCCTCACCCCATTCAGATTCTTTAAAGATCCATGTTCCACTTTTAGATGATTAGATGTTGACACCTAAGGAGTCATCATCATTGATCCTGTATTCAAACACATGGAAGTGCGAGGAGACTGTCAGATCAAACCCCAAGCGGGCTGAACCATAATAATGGTTGCTACCCGGTAGTAGCAACCATTTCTTAGTCACTGGATTGCAGACAACATAGCGAAACCCAGAGTAACAGCAGAGAATGAGGCCTCGGGAGCAATCTGAGATCACGACATCCTGAATGGGGAAGGGCAAGAAGGACAAGGAGTGGTATTCACCGTTGACACTGGTGAAGTTGGATTTGCATTTCTAGCCGCGTTAGAAGAATCCGGTGAGAATCTAGGGCAGCTCCTTGTGGTACTCGGATCCCGAGATGAGGTTATTCTAGGAGTGACATACATACTTGTAGCTGCACAAGGAGTGGGCGGTGAGGCGGCTGAGGATGAGGACCAAGACATGGTTTGTGAGGATGGCCACTTCATTCCTCTTGTTGGGGGCCTCCTCCTCCATCTTGATGAGGATCTAGTGGAGTAGGGATGGAGATGGAAGTGATGACGTTGTTGCCTAAATCAGAGAAGGAGCGCCTACAGGGATGTGTTCGTGAGCTCATTAATAATTAGATGGAAGCTTCATTCGTACTCAGATGAGTGAAGAAGGGAATAAAAATCCAAGAACAACGAATAAGTGTCGACCAAATATGTCCGACAGTCTACCGAGGGGTATACCCACAGTAGTAGATGAATCGGTGGAGGTGCGCATGAGGAAGCTGGATGGGGACACAGAACGCGAGAGAACGATTAGACAGGTTCGGGCCATCAGCTTGACATAATACCATATGTCCTGTGTCTTCATGTATTGTATTGCGTATGATCAGATGAAAACGAGGGGTCCCTACCCGCCTTATATAGCTCAAGGGGTAGGGTTATAGATCGTTTGTTTCTATCCT